TATGTTCGTGGATACGAAGACTAAGGGGACGTCCACTGTGGCCAATGTAGTGTTTTTCGCAGTTGTTACAGTTTATTTTGTAGATGATGTTGGTTTTGTCTTCTTTCGCTGTTGAGTCTTTCGGTTGACATAGAATTGAGTGCATTCCAGTGGATCATCAATCAATAGACACATCGAGATAGACAAAATTTATCAACCAATAAGAAAGAAACTTCACACACAAAGGGTTAAAGTTCAAGTCAAAGAAACAACCGGTTCCAATACAAGTAACCTAGAAGGTGTGAAAACACACACAAACAACCAATCACGTCCAAGGTCACCAGGAGAGATGATTAATAAACTCGTGGAGAAATCTAAAAGCTCACTTCAAATTGAAGTATGCGCTGAAGATGTCACCCAGTAAGGTGATGAAAGCTTCGCAAACTAACCATCCAGCTCAGAGAACAAAACCACATCAAAAGGAAGTAATATCTATCAAATCTCTTCCGTTAATGTTGACTGGTGCTGGTTGTCGTTCTTTTTGGTGCGTAGTTATCTTCATCATCTCCGTCTTCTTTGTGTTTATGCGGAGTCCTGTCTTTACTGGCTGCTTCTTCAACCGGTTTGCTGGTTTTCTACTGCAAGTTTGCGTGGTACTAGACATATATAATTCTGAGGAATCCAGATCTTCTATAGTCTTCTTATCAGTGGTCCTATGCTTTCCTGTCTCCTCACTCCCTGTGTACAGTTTGAAGTATAATCCAGTCCACTTCAACCAAGAATATCATCGGTAATAATAGGTAGCCTGAATTCATTTCAAGCGCCTCGGTGGGATTTCTGTCGTTGATCACCTGACATGTGGTATCGTCAAATAGCCAGCTGTTGAATGAGGTTGATAAAGAGAGACTTGGGCACTTCACACCATAGTATTGAAGTCTTTTCCAAATTACTTCTCGGTCGACTCTGTCTGACGAAGTCCTTTTAGAAATCGATAAAGTTGAAGTAGATGTCTGACTGTCATTCTATTCTTTGTTCTGTGATGATGATGCGTAGAGTTGCAATTTGATCAGCACATGATTTGGCTTTCCTGAATCCAGCTTGTTCCGTCCTGGTGGGATTCTGCATCCAGTACATCTTCTATTCTCCTCAGGATGATGGGACATAGTATTTTATTTGGTGTGGACAATATCATTATTCCACACCAGTTCTTTCAGAGTGAGGAGTAAGCCGCCTTTCTCTGGTAGGGCGGATACCGGATATATAGAGAAATAAAATGAACAACAATGGGGGGAGAGAAGCATATATATATTACGCAAATTATGCAGATGTGTGAATAAACTGACATAATTATGACCAATAAATTATTCTCAAAATGTCATCCAGTTACAAAAGCTGTATCCCTCTGCCTCTTGGATCAAATAAAGTTATTTAATATGGAATTATAGTCTACCACAATGCCCAAATTCGATTCTTACATTAATAGAACGTCCTAACATCAATGTCAGATATGATATTTAGTCTTATGTGATAATCATAAAATGTGCAAACAAATACTTACTATTTTTAAAGCAATTAGTTCCCTTTATGAATTTAGATTAAGCAATAAGAAAATGTAATTTGTCTGAATCGTGTAATGTATGTATTCGCGCAACACATTTCGAACAATCTGATCACACACGGACTTATCATAGGAATATATATGGAATTAATAAAGAGTTAAGAGGTGAGAAAATACACTCAGGTCAAGTTAAGCGAATATATTCAAGGTCGAAATAACAATGAAGACTACTAAATCAAATAACAGAGGTAATAGTACATCTGTAACAACAGAAGACAAGGGCCAGGCAACAGATCGTTTTATTATGAAAATCAACACGTATTTATACATATTTCACATACATTATTATAGCTTATGCAAGTAGACAAGCGCAGTCATCTGATTGGTTGTTTATCAGAAGTTAGGCAGACAAACTCAGGCTTCTGATTGGTTGTTTCGGGATTCCTCGACAAATAGAGTTCTCTATCTGCGAATCATATTTTGCCACGTTAACTTTGCTGTGATTGGTTGTTGAATCAGCCTTGCTCATATTCTCTCACGGCCTGCTCTCACCACACATCTACCCTGGCTAGTATCAAAACTAAATTTACCAAGGAAGGCGGTTTAGTGTGACACTATTTTATCAGTATCCTCTGAAACTGTACTATTTTATGAAGGAGATACTCACATCTTTTTAACAATTCGTCTATTTTTTTTATCTTTTCTCAAACCGATGAGGATATTTTCAGTTCACAACACAAAATTTGTTCTAAATTATCTATCTTTAATTAAAACAGTTTCATATACTAAAATAGAGAAAGAAATCTCATAAGTACTGAATAAAACACGGTGAAATGAATCCACAAACAACTGGAACAGATAATTTGTTTGTTTGTTTGTTTTTTCATTAACACTGAAACAGCTGGATTACACAATTATATGAGAATAATACCTTTAGGTCAAAAATATATTTAGACTACATTAAACATTTTATTCTCATTTTACTCTAAAATATAAGTAGGAATAATATTCAGTAATTTCTTCTTGTACTTTTTTCCATTCAGTAAAGGAACTAGAGAAATGTTAACGTTAATTATAAGATTTCTTGAAACTTATGAATTTCAGTGTTAACTGGACTGGACTGATATAATTATAATAATCGATTCCGACTTGCATATGTACTGTTTGAACTAACACCTCAAGAATGTCTTTATTATATCAGTTTCATTTTACTTGTTAGATGGTGGTTAGTAGTAGAATTCAAAAAGAGACTTCAAGTGATGTATCAACACTGTAGATTTTTCGATGAACTAACATTCAAAACTAGAAAGGACTTGACAGCAGTTCCATTCCAAATTGGGAATCTTCTGATGGAAGCTTGGCCGAAATTAATCGAAAGTCCTTACACACCTAAAACACTAAAGATGTAGTAATGTTTATTGTGTTAGATGGTTGGCGGTAATCGGCAGGAAGTCTCGCCTGACCTTGGCGTTGTGCTAGTTGGTACTCACCAGTCAGTCAGCAAGGCGTATCTGCAACCTCTGAAGGACTCATTTCCCTTCTGGGATTCGAACCTGCATGGCCCATTTCTGTAGTCAAAGGCGTTACCAGTGAGCTATTTAGGCTCGTGGTTGACCTCCTGTAGGACTGTATTGGATATTTTTGATTGGACACCAGTGTAATGTGTCTAGTCCTATCTTTGGTGCAGACTGAATTTTATCAGTCGTTTTTGCTGGTGAGTACCAATTAGCACGAAATCTAGATCATACGAGACTTCCCGCCGATTGCCTTCAGCCATCTAATATCATCAAATCAATGTGCACCTTGATGGCGAGCTACCTGGAATGGTGGCCACATTACAAACCCGGCTTATAGAATTCAGTCTGCACCAAAGATAGGACTAGGCACAAATTACTCTAAAAAATGACTAGTGTCCAATCAAAAATGTTTTTGTGCTTATTGATAACAACTGAATGCAGGCAACACAGAACCTGTTTATAGCCTCCAAAGCCTCAGGATGGTCGGGGGTGGGTGTCTTGCTCTGCGGGTTGGCCACCCCTCCGTACACCTCTTGAAATGCTCCCATATGACCGGGCGTCTTACATAGCCTCTCCTGAGGAAGTCCTACTCACTGCCTTCACGTGGCGGAGGTGTTTTTCACCGAAGTGATAGGGCAAAAGCGGATGCCCGGCGCTCTTCACCGGGTTGACTGTCCATTGGATGACAGTCTAAGGGAGATGGCTAAACCCTGATTCCAAACCTCCAACGACTGGCGTATGAAGCTCACTGGAGCTCACCGGCAGACGTATGGACAAAGGGCTTATTGGATGCCCTGGGTGACTGGCCCCATTCAAAAAGGCGAATGAACTGGACTCCGGTCACCGGCTGCCAATGGATAGTGGACTCCCTACTCCACTCCTACTGCCTTGTAGGTCACACTTGGTTGTGTAAGGGCTAGAGCTGCACTATCAAACAAAGGCCGAGCGATGCTGGGGACATCACTCGTACCCAATTCCCATGAAACTTCATGGTTCATGAAGCCGGCTCATCCTCCCGTAGGAGATAGCCGAAGTGAAGTAAGTAAGTACTATTGATTTCACTCATTTCTTGATTAGGCATACTCTTTGAGTCTGTTCTACACTGCATCACTGAAACCTGCTGAAGATTATACTTTCCTCTACTTGGTACTGATAACTTTACACTAATTTCTGGATTTTTCATTTAAAGTTGTTTTAAGCAGCCTGAGTGACTGCATAAGACAAATGCATCAAATTATAAAGTAAACTATAAGCCGGATGCAGCTCGATGGTGGCCTGCTTAAAACTTGGGCTACCAAAAACTTCCATCTCTCTAGCGCATATATTTTCTCTCCTTCCGTTTGTTTTAATCGATTAAGATATGACCTCTAATGATATTATCTACTCTTGTGTGTGAATTTAAAATGTCTAAGAGTTTCTGATTCTTGACTTGCCAATAAACCTGGGAAATGGACTGATTGTGGATGACAACGTGTTCCAGAATATGAGATAACTGTTCTTCACTTATGTCTTTCCGTCTCAAAATGTACTTCTGAACATCTCACAACTGGCTTTCAACTAGATCGATGTCGTGGATTTCTTGAAGGGAAGATACAAAGCAGATTTTTGAAAATGGAATGGTTTGTGCTTCAGCTCAGAGACCATTATTGTCACAGGATACACTGTCAATTAATTGATATTTTACTTGAAGATATTGTGCGAAGGCAAAATATCATGCAATAAACTCCTCTGTACATTTTATAAATATCGTTCAGAATTAAGATATTATTATTAATGTATTTGAGTAGTCTAGTAATATACCTTATATCGTTTTTAGCCCTGAGATTTTATTTTACTTTTCTTAGATAAAACACGTTGATTTTAGTTACAGTCTCGTTCACATACTGTAAACTGATACGATTTATTCTCAAAAATTCACTCTATTTTTTTTTGAAAATTCTCTACAGGTATTATGTCCAGATATTGATATACACTTGGAAAATGATGTGATTACTGTTAGTGGACAGAATGTGAATCACGTGATCGACGTGTTAACCTCAATCGCTTATGCTAGACCTCAACCAGGAATTAGTGTGAATTATGTACCAAATGTAGCACAAGCTCGTTTGCTAAGACTTTTAACAACGTACAGGTAATTGGATAGTTCAGCATCTCTTTTTTCTTTTGCTTGTTTTTTTGTTAATTTTCTGTTTGGCAGTGAACATATTTGAATATATATTTAAAACATTTTCAAGTATAACAATGGATTGATGTCAGTTAGAAAACTATTAAAAACCGAGGGATCCTGGACAGCTACTCCGTACAATGAGTACTGACCACATCTCCAACCCCCATAACCTTCTGGTTACAAGTCAAGCTCGTAGATCATTTAGCCACTGGAACCCGACTCAATGACCAGTTCATGAATTCTAACTTAAACGTATTCATGACTACTACCGTCGGACAATGTCTTCGGTAAATATTTGTCCTCACTGCCGACTGGATGGAACCCAGTGGTTGTTGATTCTCACTTGAACACCAGTCAACTTCGTCCTGTATCCAGTCATTAACGAGCATCAGGCTAATTTTCAAGAGTTAATCCCAAATTAGAACAAAATAGCTATCCAGTATTCCCTGATTTTCAGTGGTACTCTAACTGATATCAATCCGTGATCAAACGTGAAATACCCTACCAACTTACTCTTGAAAATATATTCGTGTGACAGAAAGTGTCCGTATTTTTTATATTTCACTGAGTAAAGGGCTTGTTTTTGTGCCGGACGATGTCATTCACAAATCACAGTGTAACTGAATGATACATATTGAAAATTTACAAGATAACGAATAATAAATTGAAAAATTAGGGATTTTTTGATCTTGTTCAATACCTAAATATATTATTACTATTATTTCCTTGGGCGCTGGGTGGAACATACCACTTAAACAGCAGATCTTCATTTCTCTCGCCAACTTTACTAACCCATTCTAGACTGGGAGAAATAAGGAAGGTTAGGCTGGGGACTAACCACCTTATACTCGAATATAAGTTGAATTCCTTCTGAAACTTCATAGCACAGAAAAAATATAAAGGTAACTAAACTTAACATAATGGAATGACTGTATTTCATAAAAATACACAGTGATACGGTATAATTTACTGATAATGTTTCGAGCACGATTTATTGCTCATAATCAATCAAAACACTCACTTAGCCTTCAGACTTCGTTTACATACTTCTACTTAGTCTTATCCTTCAGTAGCAATATCTTCGGTATCTCTAGTATTGGCGTTGCGTTATTCCTATAGCAAGTGTTTGGTGTAGATACTCTCAACTTCTCCCTCCAATCAACTATATTACTGAAATTCTGTCCCTCTCAGTTGTGTGATTGTTCGTTGATGCATGCAGTGCAATTGCCGAGGTTGTTATTAGCCGGTCATCTGTAAAGACAAATTTACCAACAGAGCAAAAGGACTAAGATTTATGCTAAAAAAAACCTTATTAACGATAGGAAAATAATAGAAAAAGCATTGGTGCCAAACAAACATCCCATAAAATTTTATTTGATAGATAGTGACCAACAATGGAATCTAGGCTGAGCATTCCGTCCTATTTAGATAACTGAAAGTGATTAATGCTTTCCTTTAAATAACAAAAAAAAATTCTCAGCAACCAATGAAACCTATGAAGTCTTCATAAAAGGAATCTCTATCGAACAGAAGAAAATCTGTTACAAGAAAATAAACTATTTTGCCGTGAAATAGCACCCTCCAACTACTTCTTTCTTGTTATATTAGAGACATTTCAGTACGGTTCAAAGGATGCACAAGCACTTGCAATCAATATTTAAAGAGTAATGCAGTCACACCACTCCAACATGCTGTCTAAGTAATTCCTAGTTTCCTGCACCCTCGACAAAATATTATACAATTTTATTAAAAATTACTTCTATTCAAACATTTTACATGTATAATTTCGGCGAAAGGAAGCCTTCACCTGCAGTAAGCTGGCATGATAAGATGCCGTTTACAGACAGTCATTTACTTTCCATTACCATTCACCATCTACCAGATAACATCATGTTATTCCTCAGTTATCTTCGGATAGTCCGTACTGAAAGTCTACATGCCAACAGAGACTACATATTTTGGTCCAGTATAACCAACCAATCAGCGAAAATAAAAAATTAATTTAAACAACTAATCCCATAAAATTCACTAGGAAGTTCAAAAACGTCCATAATAAGGGGAAAAAATAGCAATGAACCTATTGTCCAGAACACAAATAAGAAGGAATTTAAAGCATCTACAGTTTTGTCATGTAAAGAAGGGATTCTTAATAAAGATTAAGATTTGTGTAGCAGTTAAACGTACACACTTACTCAGGGATAAGATCTGTAGACTGAAAGAACCTACTGCCACAATTAAACAAAATAATTTTATCCACAAAATAATATGCAATGATTTCAAGGTCAACTACATAGGTCTGACCATTAGATCAGGGTCAATCAGGTTATCGGAATATAAAAATTTAACTAAGATTAGAGTGACTTACCCTAAAAAAGATGTCTGATTTAGAAAAATCCTCGGCAATTGCAATGCATGCGCCAGTACACACAGAAGAGTATGACAGGGCAACGGTTCTAAAAAGTAAAATATTTATGCAGAGTTAAAGGTAAATCATCGAATCTTTCTTTGTTCAACTAATCTACACCAAACACTTACAATAAGAATGACTCAGTGCTAATACCAGTAATATGAAAAATGTTACTACCAATAAAATTAAAAGATGCGAAAGAATCGAAGCATATGAACGAAATTTGAAAGTAATGTGAGTGCCTTAATACAATTATGTGCAATAAATTATCCTGATAACATCATCAGTAAATAATACTGTATCCTTGATGGAAATACACTATATCATAGTACCCAAATCTTATTCTTATATCAATGAAACTTGAAGGTACCAAATCATCGAGGGAAGAAATCAACTCTTATTGCCAAGATAGTACACATTCTCTAAGGCATGTTGTGGTATTTATGATCTAAAAAGTAGTTTAGAGGACACATCGTTTCAGTTTCATTTGAAACAGAATTAATTAATAATTAACAAAGAATATTTAACGAGTGAATTATAAACTGATATCAACGGGAAAACTCTTGAAAACCATAGAGCATTGGGCAGCTGTTCCAGTGTTCACTAACAGTCGCCAGAGAGGGATTACGTTTAGAACTATCAGCTTACTAGTCAGAAAAACTTCCGTACAGCTACTAAGTCAGAAATCAGTAATTCATTATTTCCAGTTTCTGCCGATTTGAGATATAGCCCCAAATTTTAACTATTGTCAGCCGTGGGTACTCACACCTGTTAGACCCGACCGGTCACTGAATCACATCAGTAATGAGAATCAGATGAGAGCTAATTTACTGAGCTGGTGAAAACCTGAATCTTTTCTATTTGTTTCAATGCATACTATTAATATATTATTATTTATCATTATTATTTATAAAAAGTCACCCTCTTAAAAGTAAACTGTCAAAAAGCTAAACACTTTTGTTTACAGATGTACTGGAGACCAGCAGTTCACTATACCAACTGCAGAAATTCGATTAAATGTTCTACCGATGACAGTGACAGATCTGCTAAAATCATCATCACATCATGAAATTTCTGATCAAATCTCTCAATCACCTAAGGATGCTTCTTTATGGATTCCGTCTAATATGCATATCCTTGATCGTCCGAGTATTTCACAGGCTGCCATTGAATCTCGAGCTAATTATGATACAGAAACAAGACCGCTTCAACCTCCATCATTAATAATCCTTGGATCAGATATTGTGACTACTGAACCACCAATAAATCCACCTGGTATCCCTTTGTTTTCTGACCTTCGTTTTGGCCTTCCAACAGAACAAGGTGAATTAATATAGATTTTATCTTGCACTATTATTTTCCAAAAGTAATAACTTCCTATATATATATGAATACACATATTTTATTTTTTAACTCAGTAATCACATACATAGTTATACTACCAAGGTTTCCTACATTAATTTCCCTACCAATGAGTCTTTGTACCTGTAGTCAACCTGATTAACCTCCTACTAGTTAGCAACAGTCATAAAAGTAAATGATGGACTGAATTCTAGGCGTAGAAATTCTCACTAAACTGTGGCATCTCAACTACCCTAACCGGGTAGTCTAAACCACCTTACATGTCTCAAACTATCAGTCAGAGATATAAGGATAAAACTTGGGCACTGTGGTAGAGTATAACTCTATTATGGATAAAATTTTATTTTGATAAAAGCACACAGTTTTATACAGTTATACCTACTGATGACGTTTCGAGGACACATTATTGTTCAAAATCATGTTGTAACAACAGAAGACAAGGGCCAGGCAACAGATCCTTTATTAAGGAAATCAACACATATTTGTAGATTTTCATGCACATTACTATAGATTATTTAAGAAAACAAACACAGTCCTCTGACTGGTTGTTTCTCACAGAAAGTTAACCTTGCATCTCTTTGTGGTTGTTTCTTGAATGTCAGATCCTCTATATGCTAACTGTATCCGCCTACTCAAAGTCTTTGTTCTTATTTTTCTCACGACCAATATTAAGGACATAACAATAATAATAAATTTTTCCTTCACGTTCCCATTGGAGCATAGGGCTTCAGGCTAGTGGCTTGAAGTTTCTATAGCGGTGTTTATTTTTACAGGATGGGGTTGCTAGCCTCATGCCCAACCTTTCCTCTTTACCAGCATTATTTCTGGCTTAGCGAGGTAAAGGAGTGCGTCGGCCTTGGATCGAACCCCAGACCATGTGCATGGTTGGCGAGCGTCTTAGCCGCTGTGCCACCGACGCACTTGGGGACATAAACATTGATGTAAATTACTGTCTACCAACTTTGGCTAACAGCCAGCTCTCACCACAATATTACTACTCCCCGAGGAAAGTGATTATTTCACATCTGAGGTGATACAGTACCACAGGATCATTGACTAACTTTCGCTGCTTACCTGTTCGGTTTTGAATCGGTGCATTGTGTGTGTGCCCCAGTTATTCCTACTAGTTATGATAAACAGGAAGAAAAGCATCTCTGTGTTTAATGGCCAGTATTCTTCGACAGTAGATAACTGAGTCACCAAGAATTTTTACAATCTTAAAGGAATCATTTGGACATTTATGTCATGAAATTTCAGAGTGGTTAAGATGTTGTAACAGATGCCGACAAGGTTTTCAACAACAGTGATTCTGAGTATACTATAGCCGCCCCTTTACAGCCATATTAAATAGTGTTCACTAACACGCCTTGAGAGGATACGCCAAAAGCAACCTACTTGACTAGAGCGTCCCTTCAAAAAGTGTTAAATAACTTTACCCAGTAAGGCTACACAAACTCGCCATCAGCTGAACCAAAAGCGCTATAAATGAAAATTTTGTCCTGTATCTGTCACAAGATCTCAATAAACTGATCATTTGCGTAGGTTAACGCAAAATAATCTACGAGATCGATTAAGATATTGAAAAAGCTCATCTGAAAACTGATTAACTGAAGCTGACAACTATACGCTTTCGAAGCTAATTAACAGTCCGGAGGTCGCTGTCTCAGACTTATATTTAACTTACAACCATTACCCGTTACACCGCTAAATTGCTAACACCAAGTTTTAAGTTAACTGTATAACATCTCTAACCGCTAATATTTCTTTCTTTGTAAGTCAATTGACATCACCATTAATATGCTGTTTAAAATGTCATTTTAGACGATGAAACCATAAGTTTTTTATCAACTAATTCTAATATACTAATCGTTAACAGAAATCTATCAATAAATTAGATCCTAAAAATATACTATAACTTGATGTAGTCGCGTCCTCTAAGCTGGGTGATTTCACTGCGAATTTTTCGTTGTCCTTCTAGACAGCATCTTCAGAGTAAGTTACAATATGAAGTGAAACCAAAATAAACAGAAATTTGCAGAAAGGAGTATAATTATCCGAGATGGGATAAAAATGTCAAATTCTAAGTCACTAAAAACAACCGTTATTGCTGATACAAACTAACAACCAACCATGACAACGGTTATCAGGATAGACAGTTATATCATCCATGAGGAATTCAGATAAGTTCAATTCGCATTGAAGATTGCTATGAAGATATTAATTTAGGACACTGAAAGCTTTGCACCTCAAAAAACACCACCATATTAATTTCAACAACCTGAGTTATAAATCCTCTCTACTTTTATTACAATATAACCTACATGCTTAATTATATATTTCAGTTTCTGATTCGTCTGGGTCTTCTGAAGCTGCTGCAATTGTACCATTAGATGATTGTTTTGTATGGCTTATATCAACTGGCAGTCCAATCAGTTTAAATATAAGACCAAAATTATACGAAGAATTTGGTGCACGTATTGACTGGCCTATAGATGAAACTCAATCGAATCAGTTGATTGGTATGGCTGATCGTAGTGGAATCCAGTTAAGAGGACGTAAACCTGCACTGATCTATGCTAATCTCCTGCATAAATTCAGATTTTTGCCACCTAAAAATATACGTTTAATGAAAGCAGTTGATGAAAAGACAGAAATCATTTATATGGCGAATATTGGTTTAGTATGCAGTTTGGATAGTGGAAAACAGACAACACCTGAATTTGTTGTTAAAGTAAGTACTCAGTAAAAAGGACTTATTACTGTTGTTTTTTCATTATTATTATTATTATTTGTGTTGTATAACTATGTTGCATAACTCTGTTGTCTGATGGAAGTCTAAAATCATCTACCGTTGAGTTTCTATCAGATAGCTGGATATTAGTGTTTTTGCCATGTGACCCCACAGTTATGAACTTGATTGTGAGTACCCACTGTAAAACAGTGACATATACAAACATATTAGTTGATAAAAATGCCTGTATTTAAGTGTTGGTTTGTAGGGATTTAGTTGGTTACAGGATATCATCATGAGCTGACAATGGTTACAGAACCATTCGAAAACCTGGGAGTACTGGACAGCTGTTTCGTCCTAGTTTGGGACTCTCCAGTAGTACGCACCAACCGACAGGGTTCGAACCCACGACCTTCTGATTACAACTAGCCAACCAGCTCCTACACCAATAAGCCACTGGGACCCGACCCAATGCCCCATGAATTGTAACTTCTGCCAATTCACGATATAGCGCAACCACTAGCCAATGTCTTTGGAGGGTACTTGTCCTCACACCCGACCTGCAGCACCTTACTGGTCACGACTGCCTGTTGCTAAATGGCTGCTCATCTTTGAATTTCTCCTGCTGCTACAGCTGTTGAATACTGGGTCATTCATTCTGATAGTCGCTGTATCTCACAACTCATTTATCTTATATATATCTCCATCAGGTAGTTACTTCTGCTGGAGGCTGTGTTTATGAATTTATATATAAACAGGTATGCTTTCAAATCTGTTTAACAACACTTAAATGAAATTAGAAGAAACAAGTGAAGCAAATCTATGGTCACAATAGAAGCAGTAGTCGTGTAATAGCAAAACACGATAGTATTTGGTAGCAAACTTCTTTATTTGACAGTTTGATCTACAGTAGGATGCAGCGAGTCGGGTGTGAGGATAAATACTCGCCAGAGACATTGGCTAGAGGTTGCGCTATGTCGTGAGTTGGCAGAAGTTAGAATTCATGGGCCATTAGATCGGATCCCAGTAGCCTAATGGTATACAAGCTCTCCTTGCAATCAGAAGGTTGTGGGTTCGAACCCTGTCGGTTGGTGCGTACTGCTGAAGAGTCCCAAACTAGGACGAAACAGCTGTCCAGTACTCCCTGTAGGTTTTCCAATGGTTCTCTAACCAATATCAGCTCATAACGAAATCTTGTAACCAGTCAAATCCCTTCAAACCAACACTTGAAAATGGAGAAACCATGAAATCTCTAATTGTACATGCTTTTCATGCTGTACCGCTTTTGTCTTCTTTCCATGCTTCCTGTATTATTTCAAAAGAATCTTTCATTTCTTCTCTTCACAACTTAACCCACTGCTCCATGATTCAGTATTCCTGCAGATATACTACTTTTAAAATCTTGTCAGCATCACACAACACAGTAGTAGTAGTAGCAGCAGGGTTATTTATTAGTCTACTACTGTGAAGCATAAAAATTAAGCAGTAACAGTCGATAGACCAGTAAGCATTTTCGCTACATAAACCTAATTACAAGTCATACTTCATGTATGAGAGTTTATGATACCAACCAAATGTCCAGAAAAAATGTAAAGTGTGATTTTATAACTGCGGTTGATTTGTTTGTAATCAAATGCTTAAGCAGGCGAACTACACTTCCACACTGACCTTCAACAAACTTGTGAAATATATCTACAAGTTAGATCATGAGCTGACATCAGTTAGAAACCATTGGAAAATCAGAGAGTATTGGATAGTTGTTTCGTCCAAGTTTGGGACTTTCCAGTAGTATGCATCCACTGGGGTTTGAACTCATGACCCTCCAGATGCAAGGCAAGCTTGTAGACCATTCAACTACTAGGACCTGATCCAATGGCCGGTAAATTCTAACTCCTACCATTTCATGATTTTAGCCTGACCACCACAGATTGTCATTAGCGATGTCCTCACGCCCGGTCACAACTTCTCACTAGAACTCTGGTTAACTTCAGCCTGTAGCTAGTCACCAGATAACATCAGATTAAACTTCTAATCTCTTTGTACTACGATGAGTATCCTGGGCTTTGATTTTATACAAAAAAGAAGTTATTCAGATCTATTGTTTATAAAAATGCTTTTGCCGGAGGCGTGGAATATAAGATTTAATAAGATATCAGCTATTTTTTTTAAAAAAATACAGAGCTGGATAGACAAAGGATTCAAGTTTTCGTTAGTACATTAGCCTGACTTGAATAAAAATCAGTTATAATCTAACATAAAACAAAGATTCTACTAGGGAAAAAAAGTCACTTTGCTCTTCATATCAGACCATTCATCTCATAATAAATTGAATTACTATAAGTGTCTATATTTATAGTTCTTTTCATCTCATACTTTTCACTTCACTAAGCTTTCTCATTAAGCAATACAAAAAAACATTAATCTTCCAAACAATTCTTTTCAACTTAGATTGTTATTCAAGGTAAAGAAGCGAAAACAGAATCTCTTGTAAATGAAATGGGTGCATTCATTTCAAATCAGACTTCTTCATTGTCTAATTCAAATTTGGATGCAGTACACTATGTTCTGTCAGATCAAGAACGCAGAGACTCAAGAGATAAAACTTTAAGTCGTCTACGTCCTATTAATCCAAGTGAATATAACAGTGAGACTACAGATAAAAAGGTAAGATTATTTACTGTTTCAACTTTTTATTTTTATTAAGTGTTATTAATATTGAGTATCACAACAAATGTAGAAGATCTCATGTCACATTAAGACTTTCAAAAAGCCATTTTCTAAAAGTAATCGATAATTTCATGGCGTCTATTGAAGCTGAATTTCTTGGTGTGCCATCTATTAAAGAAACAAAAAAAATGTACTCCAGCGGTTTATCCGTAGATTGTTCGCAAGTCATGCAGGATATTCCTGTTCTTTACCCAGTTGACACACTCCTTACTTTACTGTTTATTATCCCCCTAGGTCCCAGATGAAAAGTAGGACTTCAACAATATATTTCCACTTAATCCTGTTCTCTGCAGTCCCGTTTATCTGGCTCCACAACTTCTCATAGGCTCTCATCTCTGCCCCACACGATCTCCTCCAGGTCACAATCGGACGTCCAGGCCGTTGTTTCGTATTCGAGTCCCCCTCGAGAGCATGGCATGCAATGTTCCTCAATGGTCTTTTCAGAGTGCTTCCAATCTATCTCAATTTTCTTCTGAATGTTTGTTGGGCGATAGGTTCTTGGTTGATTTTTTGCCACAGTTGCTTGTTTCTAATCCTTTTAGGCCATCTCGTCTTCAGTATGGAGCCAGTGAAGGCAGCTGTTTAAACAAGTCTGAAACCTATTCGAAATGCTCTTCGTGATACGCGCGTCAAGTCTCCGATCCGCACAGAAGCACGAGTATGGCATTCATGTTGTTCTTCATGCTGAGCACATTAGATTTTCACATTAATTTCAGATTAATGAAAGTCTTTGTTGTCTTTCCCATCCTGGTCCACTAGCCAGTATTAAGCCCAGAAAAGAGAGGAGGTTGGGAGTAAGGTAGGCATCACCACCTCTAGTGGGACTTCAAGGCGTGAAGCCCTATATTCCACTTGAAATGCAAAGAGACGAAAAGACCTCTGGTTACGTTTATCACACAACCTAACTTTGCATCTCAAATAAAGTTACTGAAGAAAGTCATAGTAGTCTCCTCAAGCGACTAATGAAAATTATTAATAGGTTATCCACATGATTTCGGTATGCAGTTTCCCAGACTTTACTACGAATTATTCTGACGCTGTCTCCAGGATGTCCTTTGACCTGATTTTTCTGTACTTAAGAGAACTCATCAATAAGGTGTATTCAAAAATTGGGTAAAACTAATGTGAGCTTTCGAATACATGTACACTTTACTTATAATCGCAGCTAGTCATTTCTATCGATCAATTCATTAGAACTATAGCTAACTCTTGCTGGGTGAATTATATATGAATCAATCTCCAACACTTAATCAGTAGGACAGTACCATCCTGAATTTTAACTGACGCATAGTGGTTTTTAGTAATCCTTTGTGAAATCACCTCATTTAACCAATAGCAAACTGACTATTATCCTATTCTCAGTTGTTGGCTTGCAGGAGTTTGACTGATGTCAGGATTGATCACGAACTGACTTTATTTAGAAAGCCACTGAAGGCCGGGTAGTACAGAAGAGCCGTTTCATCCTAGCTTAGGGCTCCTTGACAACACGCACCCATAACCCCCGATGGATCAAACTCAGGACCTTCACGTTGCAAGGCGAGCCCACTGACCAACCAACCAATGGGACGGATATGATTGATTTCTAGTTAAACTTGGTCACAAACAAACATCTGATTAAAAAGTCACTGAAAACTAAGGAGAACTGGAAAGCTGAATGGTCAACGAGTATGTTAGACATAGAACTAATCGTTGATGCCGTGGTGAATGAGTACTGTTGATGAGTCCTAAGATAGAATGAAACAACTATCCAGTTTTCCATCGTTTTCAACGACTTCTTAACTGATGTCAATTTGTGACGAAATCTACCCTGAGATAAATATTTATGTTGAACTTCACTTAGTTACCTTTGTAATCTTAGTTAATTTCTGTTAAAATTATTTTTTTTTTAACTTTACAGACTCAGTATAATTATACTGGCTTGATTGTTGGTTTATCGATCTCTGCATTAATACTATGGTTGATAATTGGGGCAGCTGTCTGGTATGTACGTAGAAATCAACCAAGGACTAATTCTAAACCAACACGTCGTAGGAGATTTGCATCTCAACCAGCTGATTTTGGTGGTTCTAATCTGAAAACAGATCCAACGCTCAGATTAACTGCTAATCCTGTGAATGATCTACACGTTAGTTTAATTCATGATTAGTGAATACTGATCAGATGTAATTCTTTATATTCTAGTGTTGATTTGTTGAGATTCAAGGATGGTTTTTGACTCATTTCGTCATGAACAGAGAATTACTGATAGTAACTAGCAACAAAATCTAGGATGCTTATTTCATCCAATCTAGGATTCTTTGTCTCGATGTACCTGCATCCCCATTGAGTGATGGTATTTCTGCAGATACTAGAGCCCTGCACCCACTGTGGGTGACCAAATAGCCTAGTGGATAACGCTTTACTGTTTGAAACAAATGGTACATGATTCAGGTTTCGGTGCGAAAAATGTTACACTGTAGATGCAGATATATCTAGACGGCGTATCACAAATAAAACTAAATGCTCACCCTTGATTCCATTAGCAGTCACTATCGAACAAAATGACATCAGACATCTGAAGTGTCCATACTAGGAGCTGACATGTCAGCAAAGAACAGACATTTTAGTTCAATGCAGTTAATCAACAAAAAGTCCAAACTAGCTTGAATAATAAGTGAAATTCACGGACGCCTTGGTGGCTTTTTCGTCTTAGCTCGAGACTCTACAGTTAGTAGTGTCGTTGTTTCCTTTAATCCCTAGAGGAACATAGGGCTCCAACCGCACGTCTCCATTGCGATTAGTTCTCCGCCAACCTTTTCACCACCTGGCTCCACATCTGCCCACATGCTTTTATCTCCTCTTCGCATAACCTCCTCCATGTCATTCCACCCTCACACTGACGACTAACTAACTCGCCGCTTCCCATTCAGGTTCCACTCGAGCAATGGCCTGGCGTGTGACGTCATTCACTTGATGGTTTGTTTTCTCAAAGAATGACTAATCTACCTCCATTTCTTCCTGTGGACTTGTTGCACAATCGGTTCCTGGTTGCTTCTCTCACAGAGATCCCTTCCTGTTCCCGTTTTATTCTGGCCGGCCATCCGATCTTGAGTAGTGAGCGAAGACAGTATTTTGTTCGTAGTCCCCTTCGTGATGCGACGCCAAGTCTCTGATCCGTATAGTAAGAAGCATTGACTTCACATTGAAATTGAAAATCCGGATCTTATTTTTCATGCTAAGTAGTGCTGTTGACCTAGCTCCACACAGACTTGAGAGTATTGGAAGCTTGCCTTGCCTCATCAGTACCGTCCGCCTGTAGTTGAGATGATGCTTCCAAGGTAGGTAGGTAGGTAGGTAGGTAGATGGCGAAGGAGGTTGCTTCTTTCGGATTCCTCCCATTTATGCGGATTGTTGTCAGTTGTTGTTGATGCTGCTGCTGCTGTTGTCCAGGAATCTTCATCACCTACCTCTGTTTTTTTTGTGTTCACCTGAAGTGAAATCCCATATTTGATGCTTCTTGTGTCAACTTGTTGCTTTTCACTTGCATATCTTCCAGTTTGTGGGAAATCAGACATATATCATCGGCGATGTACAAGTCTTCCAAGTGTTTTGTTTTGGTCCATTTTATGCCTGTCTCCTCAGAGCCCGCTGTCTATCGCGCTATCCAGTCTACCACAATCAGGAAAACCACTAAAGATAGTAGGCAGCCAGCCAGCCTTGTCTTACTTCTGTCTTCACTTTGAAGGATTCCGTGAGTTTCCCGTTGTGGATCACTTGGCATGCAGCATTGTCGTACAACTGTTGGATGAGATGTATAATTGTCGATGGCACCCCATAATAGCAAAGTAGTTGCAAAATCACCTCTCGATCGACTCTGTTGAATCCCTTTTCAAAGTCGATGAAGTTGAGTGAGGTAGAGCGGTGAATGCCATTCCAAGCCCTGTTCAATGATGATTTAATCGATGCATCACTTGTTTCTCCTGAATTCAGTCTATTCCAGTCGAAGTTTTTCATCCAGGTTGGCGTGTTCGATTCTCACCAGGATGATGCGGCTTAGTATTTTGCTTGGGATAGGCAGGAGTAACAGTGTGGTGTAATTATTATCTTTACCAAGATGTAAAAAAAATTGTTTGATTTGTTTAATATTACATTTGTCAAGCTCATATTATGCATAATTCACTAACTCACAGTTTGTAATGTTAATAAATTTAGCGCTAAAACAAACATCTCAAGTTTTAATAAATAAGTGATAAAGAATAATCACTGAGATTTTTATTGATTTGCTTCTCGACGAGTTTCAGTGTATTCGGATTACTTACGCTTAAGTTTATAGACAATTTCATAAATAAAAATCACAGCATGAACTCAGTGTTTTTTTTCTTAACGCTTTACGATGGTGTTATTAAACAGTTAACAGCTTCAAATATTAACTGAATGAAATAAATAAAATAAAAAACTAAACAAAATAGTTTGTTTAAATTAATCAGTTTAATGTCAACACTTTATCAGTTGTCATTCAAACAGATGAGTAATACACTAAGATAAAGGTGTTTACGTTTTATCACCAACCAGAATAAGTACACAAAACTGATAAACATATAATAGTACAGTAAGAATACCATCATATTATGAAGTTTGTAAGGATTTCAATTAATTTGAACTGTTTGACTTCTTCACAGACCAACACCAGTTGAAGTGATCATTAAAGACCATGGAACATTGAACAGCTGTTCCGTGTAATTTCACGGCTATTCAATATTACGTATCTACCACCTCACTAGAGATCTTCAGGTTACGAGATTAAGCCAGTCGCCCATTTAGCCAATTGGGATAAAGCTTAACAACCCTTGGATTCTAACTACCCTCACCTGTGCCTTCAACGAAAATCCGCTTCATTGTGAAATAATCTGAATGTCAATCACTAGTTCACTGATGGTTATTGGATGGATGGATGTCCTGAAGCTCTACTGAGAAGCCATGACCAGTCGGATTCACCATGTCATGGTGGAGTGGATACTGATCGAAGACCTTAGTCAGGGTCGTGCTACATGACTAAATGACGAAATTAGAACTCATAGGTCATTGAATTCTAGCTCAGATCACTAAATTGTTAACACACTTGGCCTCGCAAAATGATGGTCTTGGATTCAATCCATGGTAGGGTTGTAGGTGCGAACCAATGAGGACTTCCAAGCTAGAATGATATAGCCAATCAGTTATCCCTGGTCTTCAATGAAGAAATCCAACGATTCGGATTCAGTCATAGTCCCTTTTCTTACATTTTCACTGGATTACTAATATCACACAACAAATGTGGCGTTAATAAGCCAGTAAAATAAAATATATACTGGTCAGTACTTTGCAACTTAAGGTAGTCAATTAAAGTACACTATTATACCTAAATTATTATCTTTCAAAGAATTTTGGGTGGATTATATTATTAGTAGGGATATCTATGAGGAGATTCGATTATCCACAGAAATACTAGCTGCTGACTATTTGCTAGGGATGTTGGCTAGTTTAATAAATAAACGGCAGAAATAGTAAAAAGAGCTGGCACAGAGGAAAAAGAACTATGACCAACAGAGCCTATTGGATAGCTATAGTGACAACCCAGAAATCTTGAAATAAAATAAAACAGAGCTCAAAAACGTATTCTCTGAGGTGATCTTATGTGGTTGGCGGAAATCGGTAGATAACTATGAACCTGGAGTCTCATGCCTACTCATACTGGTCACATAGTCGTATCTGCAACGTTGATCTGGAACTCATCACTAAACACCACAGTCATAGAGACTGCCATTCAGCTATTCGGGCTTACAACTCACCTCCTCTGAAGCTGTAATGGATACATCAGTTTCACTTGCACTGCGAACTTGATGGATAGAATTCAGTCAACACCAACACTAAGAACCAGATACAACTACAACAGTGGTTAGCCGTATTTACCAATCAGTATATATATATATATATGAAATGCAATCCTACTGTTTGCATTATATAACGTTGTCAAAGTTTAATACGAGTTACATGACCGGCACTAAATGTGATGTTACGACAAGGGATTGATATGGGAAGGTAATAAGTAGTTCGTCTGATAACCGGATACTTATTATTATTTCCTTTGATTCCTAGAGGAACATAGGGCTTCAACCACACGTCTCCATTACGTTCGATTCTCTACTAGAGTTTTCACCTAGCTCCAAGTCTCCCCACATAATTTCATCTCCTCTCCACATGACCTCCTCCAAGTCACCCACACACTGACGACCAACTCGCCGCTTCCCTATCGGGTTCCACTCGAGGGATTGTCTAGTGATGTCACTTGATGGCTTCCTCAGAGTATGGCCAATCCACCTCCATTTGTTCCTGTAGACTTGTTGCCCCATCGGTTCCTGGTTGGTTCGCTCCCAGAGATCCCTTACTGTTGCTGTTTTCTTCAGGCCAGCCATCTGGTCTTGAGCGAAGTACTGAGCGAAAACAGCCGTTCATGAAGGTGTGTAGTTTGTTCGAAGTACCCTTCGTGACGCGGCGCCAAGTCTCTGATCCGTATAGTAGCACTAGCTTCACATCCGGATCTTATTTTTCATGCTGAGTGTTGTTGACCTCCATACAGACTTGAGAGTAATGAAAGCTTGTCTTGCTTTCTCGACCCTCGCTGCTTTGATATCCTCATCATCTCCGTCATCCTGTAGTTGAAACGATGCTTCCCAGGTAGGTAGGAAAAGGAGGTTGTTTCTTTCAGGTTCCTCCCATTTATGCTGGCTGATTGTTGTCTGTTGTTGTTGCTGCTGCTGGTGTTGGCCAGGAATCTTCATCACCTCTGTTTTCTCTATGTTAACCTGAAGGCCTATCTTCCCAGGATGCTTCTTCTGCCAACTTGTTGCTTTTCTGTAGAATTCTTCAGACAAGATGATCGGATACTGTAAGCTATTTCTAATCACTCCTAACCCCAGAGCCCATGCAAATAAAGACAGTCCCAGCCGGTGAGGGCGATGGATATTTTATCATACAATATATATATATATATATATATATATAAACATTACCCACCTCGGAAAGTTAAGCCAATAAAAAATTAATTTAACTGGCTGCATAAGTTTGGGCCTTAAAGTTATCCAATAGCATTGTAATAAATATTCTGCCTGGGCCCGATGGTTTAAATTTATTCAAACCGACTTAAGGGGATATATCATTTAATTTATTTCATTTGTTTATTTTCATTTTATTATAGCTTGATTCCACACAGAATTTTGGTACCAGTATGTAATTTTCACCATGTGATATCGGTAGCCCAAATTTAGCAGGCCGACCATTGAAATCAGGTGTGCGTGGGCTGGGGATGGAACCCTAGACTATATCCATGGTCGGCGAGCGTCCTAAGCGCTGTGCCACCGACGCAGATATATATATATATAAACTTAAATATGTTCCTCTGTGCCTAAATTACATGGAATTTAACTTAGAACAAATCTAACTTCAAGCTCATATACAGGCTATTCAACAGTAGAAAGAAGCAAACTGTCAATTGAGTTGTTTCCATTCTACCTCTCGTTAATTTGATGAAGTGATGATTATTGATTTTTTTTTGTGCAATAAAACGCTTCACCAAAAGATGCTTATTGAATTATTTTTCTCCCTTTTCGACTCACACACACACTTTCATCACTTTTATTTTTTATAGCTTCTGGGTATGAAAACGAATGTTATTCGAAGTATGGAATATCCGAATCATTCAACACCTACACGAAATCAGTGTATTTATTCACCGCCGATGACAGCGCATAGAACAAATCCATTCAATAATACTAATAATAACAATATACCATGCGACGAGATAAGTAATTCAGTATCACCAATTCATACACCAAGATTAGCTGATCTTGAAGAATTCGATGATGAAAATTATGAATACGATGATGAGTTGACAGGCATAAATCATCCTATCAATGATAGCAAATATTGGATTATGGGACCAGCGGCAACACCAACCCCGACTAAATTCGTCAAAGAGTCTATAGTCAAGTCATTGATTAATCAAGACCAAATTGGAATGCCGAAGTTGTTACCACCTGATCGTTATGAATGGATTGATAATGAGGCAGAATCGAATTGGCATGAAGAAATCCATGCTTGTAATGATGATAAAGAGGAGTTAACTCCAAAAGAATTACTCGTTCAAACAAGCAATCATGTAAATCAAAACAGTATTAATCAGATTGTTCATGTCTAGGAGGATATTCACTGATACATGACTGAATGACTGAGTGAGTGACTGTTCCTTCAATGCCTCCCTCATCTTTATTTACACTTGATAATTTTTATGTTTCATTTCTTTACGAAATTACCACAAGTTGTCTTTTCGTTAGTGAAATTGTATAGGATAAGTAATTACTTGTGAAGTTTGTTGCATACATGCTGGCAGACATGCTGAGTATCACTCATACACATAAACATACATACATATATGCCATATTTTTGCCTTTTCTTTACGCCGAAACCATCAAATATTTCTTTGTGTTCCACAAATTTTTGCATCAAAAGTCATGCGTACTGATAATTCCACTAGGTATATTCACGTGTCATTAAGAACCCTCGCCATGTTTATATACCCTATTTTGCCATATATGAATCCTTTCTAATTCATTTCATCGCCTATCCGTCTGTTCTACCTAGTCATAATGTCCACTTACACTTATTGTCTGTTATTTCATACCTCCGTTTATATATTTTTCGTTTAAATAATATACTACTTTCTAAAATAAAAGTAGTTAAACACTACAGCTAATTTTTTATTGAATACTGGCTTATTAACATTCTACTAATATTTTGTTCTAATGCTTCTTTTAAAAAATCATTTTCGTATATATCCATGTCATTGAAAAGTTTCATGTGCTTGCCTGCTTACATACTTGCCAATACACTTTTTTGTCTACTGATAGTGCTGATTTGGTTTGAATATTGATGTTGGGGAATTATCAGTACTTCATAGTATATATACAGGCATCCATATTATTTTAAGACTTAAAATACTAGAAAGATATTTATACTACCATTTAAGAAAACCTGGAAACAGAGAACTTTCTGAGTTGAGTGTGTATAACAGTTGAGATTTCTGTGAATTCAGGGGCATCTACAGTAAATATCAAAAGTCAATAATTATGTTAATTTGTTCACCTAATCAGTTACTCCTAGACCTCAAAGTCATATCAACTAAACCTACAGGTGTAATGCCCCAGGTGTTTGGTTCGGAAAATAGCCTATTTGAAGTACGGGGTTAGATTTATTCAGAAGTAAGTATGGAGAATTAAATCTGAATTTAATACATCAAAAATTATTTTGTAATCAAAGGTCTGGTTGCCTTGAATCGATAAGTGGACTTTGCCTTTTCTGTCTTAAGAAGTTTGCTGCGAATAAAGCAAGGTCAGTTAGCATAAATTCGATATATGGGTGGAGTTGGCAGAGTCACATAATTCGACCAGGTGTTCTAGAATATAGTTTCTTAAACCCTTGCATTCTTCCTTATGAAACTATGCAGGAATGTGCTCTCGTATGCGTATGGAAAGCATTCTCTGGTTGTGGCCAATGTATCTTGTTTGACGATAGCAGGCGAACCGATAGCGGAACACAGACGTGGTCAGACGACGGAGATTATTTAGAGACGGAGAACAACTTACGGCTGGTGAAGGTTAATTAGAAACTAGCTGCAAAGAACGTCTTAGTGACTGATACAGAAAGGAGATTTACTAGCATATCTGAAGCCTTTGAGTTCCGAATTCATTAAGACAGTTTTCATTCGAACTGAGTTGATGACCATTCTGTATTGCTTATCTCTTATGGTTCTGTCAATAAATCGATCTGGATGGCCATTTCCTGGAAGCGTGACTTTTGTGGAGGAAAGTTCTGAATCAGCGTAATGAAAACTACAAATATTACTTATTCTATAGCAGAGCGAATGAATCAGGTTTCTTTTCCTGAAAGCAAGTGCCCAACTATAGAAATTACTTTGTCGTCCTTTCCATGTACTTTTCCAGTGAATGGAGTTTTTAAGGGATCTGTCATAAAGTTTGGTGTGGTACACATCAAGTAAAGGAATAGTCAGTTCAGATTTCTTTTCTGGTTTTATCAATTGATATTGAACTTTGATTACTACCACGAACATCTGATCACATTTTACATCATTATTTCAGGTATTTACACCTTTTTCTAAATTTCCTCAGGAGATATATATATATATGATTGTACAGCTTGAAAAGAATCCCTTCACCGACTACTGCATCACTAATGTTACAATAGGAATTATTAAATTATCAAAATGTCATTTCCAAATGTCTGAAAACTTCAAGTGCTCACTAGAATTTGGAAGAAGGAACTAATAAGTCCACTTACTGCAACATTCAAATACAGTAAATCTGGAATAGCATCGAGAGCAGAAGCATTAATTTAAAGTGGAAATATGTTTACTTTATTCATTGAAAACTTGAAAAGAGTCCTTCTGTAGAAACATTGAGTTAGTAAAGGATTGGGAAAATTTGACCATCCATAAACGGCAATCCATAAGGAAATCCTGCGGTGAAGTGAACTAACCAACAACTTGTTGTTTAGAAAATATACCAAAGAAAACTCCCAGGTTTCCCAATGGTTCTCTAACTAATGTCAGCTCATGATGAAATCCTGAAAACAATCAAATCCCTACAAACCAACACTTGAATACCAATAAGATGCTCACTGGCGACTGGCCCTATTCAGGTAGGTAGTTACCTGGGTTCCAGTGGGAAGTCGTGACCAGTAGGGTGCAGCAGGTCGGGTGTGAGGACAAATACTCTCCGAAAACATTGGCTAGCGGTCGCGCTATGTCGTGAATTGGCAGAAGTTAGAATTCAAGGACCATTGGATCGGGTCCCAGTGGCTTGATGGTATACGAGCTCGCCTTGTAGCCGGAAGGTCCTGGGTTCGAATCCCGGTGGGCGTGTACTGCTGAAGAGTCCCAAACTAGGACTGAGGAAACAGCTGTCCAGTACTCCCAGGTTTCCCAACGGTTCTCTAACTAATGTCAACTCATGATGAAATCCTGAAAACAGAGATAGATGGATTGGACAATGGCTGGATGAGACATTCGAGTGACACCACACTTCAAGATCGGATTTACTTCGGAAAGTATCATGGAGAAGACCATATGTAGAGGTGATGTAAGCTTGTGGTCAGTCTTGATTGAAAATGATGACAAAGAATCGAATACAGTAGAGATTTGTAACTGAACTCCTGCATTCCTCTCAGAATGCAAGAAATGAACAGTAATGATAATAGTACCACTTAGTGGTTGTAGTGATAAGTCTGGGATTAGTGTTTGCATTGTTATATGTGGTAAGAAGTATTACGAAGTAAATGTAAATAGGTGATTCGACTGACTTCCAAGAAACTCTAGGTCGCTCTTCCTTCGAGACAGGTGTCTTTAGGTTACATTTTACGAAGTATACGGTTCTCTAACAGAATTTATTTCGCGATCAGTGCATTTAACAGGAGTCATAAGAGCCGAATATTTTTTACTAAATATATTCTGCATTACGGACACCCATTGACGGATTCCACTACTAGATGAATATTTAGATGCCTTCAATATCAGTCCACTGTCTACAGACTATAAATCACGTTTTGATTTTGGTATCAGTTTACTAAGCCACTCATTTAAATATTAATGTGAGAAAATTTGGTAAAATTTAATTAACTTACTTATAAGTAAACAAATTCATTTTTTTAATTTTTTTTATGCAGTTTGTTGAACAATCACTCATAAATACCATCTGGAAATTGTTAAATATCGTCATTATTTAATTCTTCTGAAGGTTATCTTCAGCATTATACTTCTGAAGGCTTCCAAACCAGGATGAAACGGCTGTTCATTACTCCCTGCTGGTTCCAAATGGTTCGTGATTTAACTTAAAATCAATCAAATCTATACAAACCAACCTAGTGCTCAATACTGACTGACCATGGACCAAGATTGCGTAGAGTGCTAATGATAATTCGTGACCTGTGAGGTTCACCAAGTCTGGTATGTATGTGGGTGTGTTCACATCATATGTCGCGAATTTGTGATGGTTAAAGCTGATGGGCTATTGAACTCTATTCGAGTGGCTGAATGGTATTCGATCTCGGCTTGTTACCTGAGGTTCTAAAAAGATGAAAAAACAGTTGTCCGGTGACTGTCTAACTTAAGTCAGTCCGTGATCTAATTTGAACAAAAAACAGTTGACAAAGTGATTTGATCTGAACAACTTGTATTTTTTGCTTTCAGAATGAAGGAATCTTTTTTTAGAACGGAATTTTACCAGGACAGCATAAAGTATAAGAATCAAAAAACTAAAAAAAAATCCAGTGGATCACCAAGGTCATTAGAATGTGGTTACTAAGTAAAAGAGGTGGTATACGGTGAGCTTGACTGAGAAGGTAGAAGAGATTTTTACCTTGAGCGGTGATCATTTTTTAAGTCGTTTATGTTTCATTTTCATTTTAAACACCACAAAGGCTAACTTCGAAAAACAGTGATTCATATAATTTTTTTCATAGATAATTTAGTACGTGGAGGACATTTATCGGCGAGGGCGGGTCGACGGACACTTGGGAACTTGCAAATTCGTTTTCGTTAGAACAGACAGAGACAGAAAGTTTCCTAACCTTTTAGTTAGGCTCCCTACCCTACTGTATAAACACTTAAATAAACTTATCTCTACAAATTTACAATGAGTAGGTATCAGAGAATGGCAGTCTAGCATGAGTAACTTACCTTGTTCATTTCCTAACTCGAAAGTGAATTGAATTCCGCCTACTACTAAGTTTATACGTGTGAAGAATTTAGGGATATGTTCATATTTCAACAAAGTAAATGTGTTGTTTATATATCTACACTGTAATCTAGGAGTAGGATTAAACCTTTCGAGAACTCTACGTTCCCAACTATCCATAAAAGTGTTTATTGCTACTACTGGGGATATTAGTGATCAAACTCTCTCTCCATTTGTTCATTTGCATAATTTATTTTGAAATCTGAATACATTGGTATCTGAAATTATTCCCATGCACTGGAATGGATGGATTTACACCACGAAGCTCGTCTGCTTACTGGTATTCATTTAGATGATGACAGAGAGGGAAACCATACTTTTCAACGAAATGCTTTTTTTCACTCCATGAAGTTAATTTCACAGTCTTCCTTGGTTGTTGGATTTTTCTCTGAATATGACGAAGACTAGTGACATTTTCAACGTTCCTAGCTACCAGAATCGTAAAGGATTCCAATATTCTTATTGTAATTTCCAAGTCAGCCAACATATTTATCTGTTCACTTTAATTATTATTATTCTTACTTCCTTTAATTCCTAGAGGAACATAGGGCTTCAGCCAAATGTCTCCAATGCGTTCGGTTCTCTGCCAAAGTTTTCACCTAGCTCCAAGTCTCCCCACATACTTTCATCTCCTCTTCACATGACCTCCTCCATGTCACCCTCGCAGTGATGACCAACTGTTTGCTTCCCTATCGGGTTCCACTCGAGCAATGGCTTGTCTGGTAATGTCACTTGATGGCTTGTTTCCTCAGAGTATGGTCAGTCCACCTCCATTTCTTCTTACCTATTTGTTGCACAATCGGTTCCCGGTTGGTTCACTCCCAGAGATCCCTGTTGCTGATCTTTTCTCGCCGGCCATCTGATCTTGAGTATTGAGCGAAAGCAGCTGTTGATGGTGTGTAGTTTGTTCGAAGTGCCCTCTGTGACGCGGCGCCAAGTCTCTGATCCGCATATTAAGTAGCACTGATTTCACATTGGAGTTGAAGATCCGGATCTTATTTTTGATGCTAAGTGCTGTTGACCTCCACACAGACTTGAGAGTAATTGTTATATCTGTAGGGAATTGAATGAAGACGTTTTCACCTTATTCTGTCTGCGCCTGAAC